ACAGCCATAGGCAGGCCAGTCCCTGCGGATCTTCTCTTTAACCCTTCCCCTGGATAGCCTCCATGGTATCAGCCTTAGGAGTCTCCTCGGTTCTTACAATGTCTGAGAACAACATCAGCTCAGGTGTAAAGCACTGTCTTCCTTAGACAACTGGACAAAGAAAAACGACCTGAACTCAAGGTTGTGAATAATTCGCTTCCTTTACTTACACATATATTGTTGCTTGGAAGATATTTATAGGCTGTGATTATGTCTCTTTGAGTCATGTTTTTAGACTATATAAATTTAGACCACTCTCTCACCAGTGTTAGCTACTGATCTCTGTAACATTCTTTGTCCTTCCTTTCCTATTCACTTGTTTCAGAATAGTCTGTAATGATCCAAATGTTAAGTTCTTATTTTTTTTAAAGATCTATATATTACTTGCTTAATTTCCCTAATTTCTAGCCTAAAATAACTAACTTAAGGTCAAGCCAAAAAGCCTCTGTGCTTTTAAGTTTCTCTCTACCACTTTTTTCCATCAGTTCTCTAGTATTTCTTATATAATACCTGTCCTTCACTTTATAACAGTAATGATAACAGAAAATTAAATATTCACATTTTTATATACGTGCATTTTGGGAAAAGGTTACATACTGGCCTTTGATTACTAGTTCTGAGTCTTCTCTCTGATGTCTGCTTATTGTATATAACTAAGGGCTAAGCATAATGAAACCCAGCACAGCCTGAGAGCCTGCTGTGTAGTCTGGTCCTAGCTCATCAATGCTAAGCTGCAGAAGCCAGGCACATCATTTAAGGTCTCTAAATGTCCACTCTCTCATCTGTAAATGAGATATTAATAATAATTATTATGCCTACTTCAGATTTTTTTAAAGAATCATATAAGAAATGTAAAAATGTTTTAGAACCTAAGAAAGTGTTAGAAAGTTACATAAAAATAAGATATGTATTACTATTTTTATTTTACATATATCTAGTTTGGCTGGTGTCATTCTTTGCAATACTCTTTCACTGTTAGGTGTTCTCAGCTATTTTGCCTGTGGTGACCAGGGAGGCAGATAAACTATTGGGTTCTATTTCTCTGACTCTCAGAGTCTTAAAAAAACACACAGAAAAACTTTTCTTATTTTAATGTCCTTTTGAAACACAGAGAAATGTTATCTTTACTTGGCAGGATGTACTGAAATGATCTAGCTCTCTTTGGATTTCTTTGACTTGTATCTTACTTCTCCAGCCCTTTAAGAATTTTCTCTAATCCACAGTCAGAATTTTTTGCACTATCATTATTCATCTTTTTCAATGTGAAAACTGTAGAATGTGAGAAATGGGGCTAAATAGGTGGTTGAAGAGGAGACTCCATGAATAATTAATCTGGAAGAATATAGGCATACCTTGGAGAGAGGGCAGGTTTGGTTCCAGAGTACTGGAATAAAGCGATTATCACAATGAAGCAAGTCACATGAATTTTTTGGTTTCCCAGGGCAAATAAAAGTCATGATAATATTGCATTGTAGTCTATTAAGTGTGCAATAGCATTATGTCTAAAGAAACACTATGCATACCTTAATGAAAAATTATTTTATTGCTAAAAAAGGCTAACCATCATCTGCTGCTGCTGCTGCTGCTAAGTCGCTTCAGTCGTGTCCGACTCTGTGCGACCCCATAGACGGCAGCCCACTAGGCTCCCCCCATCTCCAGGCAAGAACACTGGAGTGGGTTGCCATTTCCTTCTCCAGTGCATGAAAGTGAAAAGTGAAAGTGAAAGTGAAGTCGTGTCCGACTCTTTGCGACCCCATGGGCTGCAGCCCACCAGGCTCCTCTGCCCATGGGATTTTCCAGGCAAGAGTACTGGAGTGGAGTGCCATTGCCTTCTCCAAACCATCATCTGAGCCTTCAGCAAAGTCCTAATCTTTTGGCTGATGGAGGGTCTTGCTTGGATGTTGATGGCTGCTGGCTGATCAGGATGGTGGTTGCTGAAGGCTGTGGCAGCTGCGGCAGTTTCCTTTTTATTATTGTTTATTTATTTTTGGTTGTGTTGGATCTCCACTGCTCCGCGTGGGCTTTCTCTAGGCAAGTGAGCTTCTTGTTGTGGTGGCTTCTCTTGTTGCAGAGCATGGGCTCTGGGGCGTGCATTGGAATCTTCCCTGACCAGGTATGAAACCTGTGTCCCCTGCGTTAGATTCTTAACCACTGGACCACAAGAGAAGTCTGGAAATTGTCTTAAAATAAGACAACAATAAAGTTTGTTGCAATGATTGGCGCTTCCTTTCATGAAAAAAATGTCTGCAGCATGCAATACTGTTTGATGGCATTTTACCTACAGCAGAACTTTTTTCAAAATTGGAGTCAATCCTCTCAAACCCAGTCTCTGCTTTATCAACTAAGCCTACAGAATATTCTAAATCCTTTGTTGTCATTTCAACACCTTCATAGTAACTTCATCTTAAGAAACCACTCTCTTTGCTCACTCATGAGAAACTACTTTCCATCCATGAGATTGCAGCAATTAATTCATAACCTCAGGCTTCTAATTCTAGTTCTCTTGCTATTCCCACTACATGTACAGTTACTTTCTCCTCTGAAGTCTTGATTCCCTCAAAGCCATCCATGAGGGTTGGAATCAACTTCTTCTCAACTCCTGTGAATGTTGATATTTTGACCACTTCCCATGAATCACAAATGTTCTTAACAGCATCTAGAATGGTAAATCCTTTCCAAAAGATTTTCAACTGACTTCCTGGATCCATCAGAGGAATCACTATCTAGGGCAACTGTAGCCTCACCAAATGTATTGCTTAAACAATAAGACGTGAAAGTTGGAATTATTCCTGACCAATGGGCTGCAGAATGGATGTTGGATTAGCAGGCATGAAAACAACATGAGTCTCCATCAGAGGTTTTGGGTCACCAGGTGCAGTCATATTTCAAAAGGAATTTTTTTTTTTTCTGAGAAGCAGGTCTCATCAGTGGACTTAAAATACTCAGCAAACAGATGTACTGTCATCCAGACTTTGTTCGTCCATTTATAGAGTACAAGCAGACTAGGTTTAGCATAATTTTTAAGGGCCCTAGGATTTTCAGAATGGTAAATGAGCACTGGCTTCTACTTAAAGTCACCAGCTGCATTAGCCCCTAATAAGAGAGTCAGCCTTTCCTTTGTAGCTTTAAAGCCAGGCATTGCCTTCTCACTGGCTATGAAAGTCCTAGGCGGTATCTTCTTCTGATATTAGAAATATTTAATGCATTTTCATTTACACTGACAATCTATTGTGGGGTGTAGCCACCTTCATGAAATATTTTTGCTAGATTCTCTGGATAACTTGCCGCGGTTTCTACGTCAGCACTTGCTGCTTCACCTTGCACTTTTTTCCTGAAACTTCATGAACAAATCGTTGCTAACTTCAAACTATGAATATTCTTCTGCAGTTTCCTCACATCTCTCAGACTTCACAGAATTGAAGAGAGGTAAAGCTCTGGATTAGGCTTTGGTTTAAGGGACTGTTATGGCTGGTCTGATCATCTATCCAGACCACTAAAATTTTCTTCATATCAGCAACGAGGCTGTTTCACTTTCTCATCATTCATGTGTTCATTGGAGGAGCACTCTTAATTTCCTTCAGGAACTTTTTCTTTGCATTCCCCACTTGGCTAGCTGTTTGATGCATGAGGCCTATCTTTCAGCCTATCTCAGCTTTCAGCGTGCCTTCCTCACTAAGCTTAATCATTTTGAGCTTCTGATTTAAAGTGGGAGACATGACACTGTTCCCTTTCCTTGAACACTTGGAGGCTGCTGTAGGGTTATTAACTGGCTTAATTTCAATGCCGTTGTGTTACAGGGAATGGGAGGTGCAAGAAGAGGGGGAGATACAAGCGAATGGCCGTCAGTAGAGTAGTGAGAGCACACACAGCATCTGTCAAGTTCACCGTCTTACATGGGCTCAGTTCAGCCCCAAACAATTACAACAGTAACATCAAAGATCACTGATCACCATAACGGACATAATAACAATGAAAAGGTTTGAAATATTGCCAGAATTACCAAAATACAATGCAGAGACACTAACTGAGCAAATACTGTTGGGAAAATGGAGCCAACAGACGTGCTCCAAGCAGGTTTGCCACAATCCCTCAATTAGTTAAAAACACGCTGTCTGAAGTCCAATAAAACAGGGTCTGTTCGCATGGACTTTTGTTTACCACAACATAAAACCTTTAAACAAATGTCTCTTCGGTAATAGTAGACGGTCTTACCTATCCCCATTTACACATACACATGTGCATCCACACTCACTTGTGCACACTCACATGCAATGTGAAAGTATGTGGAGTTTTCTCTATTAACAGCTGCAGGGTTTATGAAAAACACAACCAGGATGCAGATGTCGTCTGCATCAACATCCTATCAGGAGAAATTAACAAAGCTTCAGCCTCTACCGAATGCTTTTCTGAGTTGGTAGAACTGGCCAAACCTGCAATACTAACATAGAATTATGGAAATTGGAAACAAAAAGCCGGCATCTACTGGGAATGACAGGCTCAAGATGAACTCAGCTGGAAAATTTGGCTAACTAAAAGTGACATCCTTTGTGCTGGAATTTTTCTATCTGAAAGCTTGAAAAAGGCTATAATTATTTCGAGTTTTCAATGCAACCCTTTTTAAACTAAGCCTTTCCTTTTCTTCACTGCTCTGTACCTTTCCTCCCTGTGAACTCAGGCGCTTGCCAAGCACTGAATTGGGAAATTCATATTGGTTTTATACACATATGCATTTCCACAGAAGGTAAGCAACACAACTTTTGCATCTTCTATGCCAAGGAGAACAAAAGAATGTTTGTACAGTCAAATCTGTACCCTGTACACAGGCTCAGATTATAATACCTGAGCCTGCTTAAATAAATCACCTAAGAAGAAATGGCTGATTAAGGCCAATGAATAATTTCTTTGCAAGTTAGTGCTTTTTCTCCATGGAGAAGCCAAGTAATACAAAACCTTAGGCTTACCTTGTGGCTTTGGGGTCCCAAATCACAATGTCAGCATCTGAGCCCACAGCTATTCTTCCTTTTCTTGGATAGAGGTTAAAGATTTTAGCTGCATTTGTGCTGGTAACTGCCACAAACCGGTTTTCATCCATCTTGCCACTGTGCTGTAAAACAATTCAAGGAAGAAAATACATTTCTTTTTCTGATGAATCATAAAACACTAAAAATCTCCTATCAATAAAAGTAGGAGACTTGTATCTCTTAGAACCAAATAGAACCACACCTAATTTTGTATACTGTGAGACCAAACACATCTGTGAGTACTGATAAATCTTAAACAATCATAGTGACAATGATGGGGATGAATGAGGTTAAATATGGAAACCTGAAAGGAACTTTTCAAAAACCTATCAGCTTAACAAAACACCCGCACAAATTTTTCCCATTCTTCCCAGAATCACAGAGAAAAGAGCTAAATGTTGGTAACAGTACTTTCAATTTTTTTACTTCAACCACCTACTACATTTATGATCTGGATTATTTATTGCAGACCTAAGATTTATAGATAAGATTTATAAGACAATCATGTAGATATTATATAGAATACTATAGAATTAAAATAAGATAGGCCTATAAGTCTGGTGACAACACTTTTAAAAAAGAAGAAAAATCAGCCGAGAGGTTCAGTTTTTGCACTACTAAAATCTACATGAACCAACAGTCATGGACAGTCTGCTGCAAGAGACTTTAATATGGACAAACTTCAGTGGGATATGATCCCTCTAAAATGATTTTTTTTTAAATGTTGAGAGTTTATTCCTATACACACTTACATGGCAAGAGCATCCGTAAGTTCTATTTAATTATCAAAGGGTCTCTGCCTCAAAAAAATAAATAAATAAAACTTTAGGAACCATATCCTGAAAGTAACATTCCCATAAATAAATCATCCTAAAATTTCAGAAAATAACATAGATTCCTGTATGTTATGAAGAAATCTCCGATCACTTTAGATCCACTTATACACTTTAAAATCATGGCATCTGGTCCCATCACTTCATGGCAAATAGATGGGGAAACAGTGGAAACAGTGGCTGACTGTATTTTTTTTTGGCTCCAAAATCACTGCAGATGGTAATTGCAGCCATGAAATTAAAAGAACTACTCCTTGGAAGGAAAGTTATGACCAACCTAGACAGCATATTAAAAAGCAGAGACATTACTTTGCCAGCAAAGGTCTGTCTAGTCAAAGCTACAGTTTTTCCAGTGGTCATGTATGGATGTGAGAGTTGGACTATAAAGAAGCCTGAGTGCAGAAGAATTGATGCTTTTGAACTGTGGTGTTGGAGAAGACTCTTGAGAGTCCCTTGGACTGCAACGAGATCCAACCAGTCCATCCTAAAGGAGATCAGTCCTGGGTGTTCATTGGAAGGACTGATGCTGAAGCTGAAACTCCAATACTTTGGCCACCTGATGCGAAGAGCTGACTCACTGGAAAAGACCCTGATGCTGGGAAAGATTGAGGGCAAGAGGAAAAGGAGACGACAGAGGATGAGATGGTTGGATGGCATCACCGACTCAATGGACATGAGTTTGGGTAAACTCCGGGAGTTGGTGATGGACAGGGAGGCCTGGTGTGCTGCAGTTCATGGGGTTACAAAGAGTCGGACACAACTAAGTGACTGAACTAACTAACTGATACACTTTATATATTATGAAAATCTGCTGTAATGAAGTTACTCATTGTAGTTAACACAATTTCAAAGTGGAAGGTTGGACTGCTGTTATCAAGAAAGTCTAAACAAGGAGAAAGAGAAGGAAAGCCGTCTGGGGTGATTAGAGTTAAGGTAGAGGTAAAAGGGGGTGGAGAGGACGAATGGCAGAAGATAGGGCCATAGAGATGTGTTGAAGATCCTTACATGTGAATTAATTGTTCAAATATCATCCAAGAAGTAATGCAGAAAATGAAAGGGTTTTAGGGAAGAAAGTAGCATGAGTATACCCTGGTGTTTGAAATGCAATGGCGGTCCTAGAGTATAGGATAGATTGTAGCAAGCCAGAGAGTAGAGACAGGGACACCAGCTGTGAGACTACCATCATGGTCCAAACAAGACATGGGACTCCAAGTAGAATGGTAGAGATGAAGGTGGAAATAAGGAGGCATTTGAAAATAAAATTGACAAGACCTGGTTTTAAAAAAAAAAAAATTAGAGCTGGCAGTGAGTGGTATGTGCAAGGGATTCTGGATGTAGATGTGATTATTCCTTTTCTTTTTTTCTTTAAAAAATTTTTTTGGCTGTATCATACTGCACGTGGAATCTCAGTTCCCTGACCAGGGATTGAACCCATACCCCCTATATCAGAAGTTCGGAGTCTTAACAACTAGATCACCAAGGAAGTTCAGACATGTGATTACTACATCGTTGAAGGGAGGGGTTCTGAATGATGGATGGGAATGACATGACAACAGGGACCTCAGGTCCTACTGAGCAAGTCTTCACTGCTGATCTTTACAACTACACTCGTCAGCTGCTTGGATAGGCTTATGTGTGAACATTTAGCCATGTGATTATTCTTCATCTTCAGGTAGAAACTTTTAAACTGTGAAATTAAAAGAAATCTCTGTGCTTTGGATTTATGATTTATGTGACCTCATACAGTAGCTTTTAAACCATAATATTCAAAAGTTCTTTAAAAGGGACATCTACATTTTTATATGAAAAAGAGGTACAAATGTAATAAAAAAAAAAAACCCTTCATGTCTTTTCAATCATTCCAAGTGTTTATATCAGTGACACATGAGGAACTTGGATTCACAAACATGGAAATCAGATAGAAGGGCTATTACATTTCAAAGACTTCAAGAATAATCCTCTTGGTACCCAATCTAAATTTATACTCTGGCACAAAGCATCCTCTAAATCATGTAGAGAAGAAAAGTATTTTTCCTTATTATCTTGGGAGATGGCATGGTATTGGTGATGCGGTAGTATTCTCAGTGGCCACTTTAGTGAAAATAATCAAGAAGCTTCTCATGAAGGCTTCTGGAACTTTAGTCCTAAAATAGACCAGATCCTGTTGAAGAATTCAGCAAAACAAACTGAATTCTGTGACACTCACCACGCCTTTTTCCCATATTATCGACATCCGGTCCTCAACACCATTCACTCCATTGGGAATCTTGGTAAAATCATCCTTCCCAAGAGCTTTCTGGCAGCTGTTGAAAGTACAGTTGTCAGACCCTGTTGTGGTTAGGTCATCGCTGTAAAAGAGACACACATGAGGGCAGAGGTGGGTGAGAAGACAGAAAATGTCGGGAGGAAACTACCATACCTTTCCCTGGTCTCCTGATCCTATTCTCAACTGAAAGTCAGAAAACCGCAATGGAGAATGACCAGCTTTTCAAGGCTGGAAGGAAGTGGCAAGTGATCTCTTGTCCAGTCTGTTGTGAAAAGCTCTTTGTTAACTTGGATCTGAGTATCTGTGAATGAGGAATGTCAGAATGTCCACGAGTGGTATATTCTTCAACAAAAATGATCATAATGTCCCCCCTAAACCCCCGCCAAAAAACATACATCAATGGTCTGAATGGCCTTTCATGGGGATAACCTGCTCTGAGGGCAGGGTTTTGCCTTTTACCTGTGGCTCTTCCCTAGATAATCATCTTTTGTATCCCTACCACAGGCATATCTGGATCCTGGGTTATATCAGCATGGAAAATGTTCAAGAATATTCTGTCTGATAAAAATTAGGCATATGGATGTGACCTGGCCCTAAGCAACAAGAGATAGAAAAGACAGCAACAACAAAAAACCAAAGAGAGGAAAACGTCAGGAAAAATGATCTGATTTCACTGTGGTCAGGAGAGATTTTGACACCACATCATAATGTGATTAAGCCAATGCCTTTTGGTCCCCAGATGCAGGATTCCCCAGGGCCTGTCAGGTCAAGTAGAACAGAGGACTGGGAGGTCAATGGAAGGTCCAGATGATATCACACGATCTCCTACACTCAAATCCTGCATGTTTTGAGACTTGAAAAACATCTTAATTTTGCAAAACACGTAACAATCATCTGCTAATTGATTACTTAGCCAACAGATTCATGAGGAAGTCAGGCGTTGAAGGGTCTGGTCGCAGGGGTGGACCCATAACATGGTGGGCAGCATGGAGCCATTCTCTATCCCAGTGGTGGGTGCCATCCGTGCCGAGACCTGCTGCGATGGGTTCTCCGTAGACCACCTTCCCTGGAAAGTTCAAAGGAAGTGATCAGTACCTCCATTTGCTCTTAAGAGAGCTGACTGACAAACACCTAAGTATTAGTCTCTCTGTCCTAGCTAAACTATCACTTACCTTTGCCTTTCACCTCTACAGTGGCTCTGGATTGAAAACTAAAATCTCCTATTTACTGAGCCTTTACTATGCTCCTGTCAATGTGCATTGCAGCTTGTGGTAAATGATTGTACCCACTCACTGCTACTAGGCTTGGCCTCACGACTTGGTTTGGCCAATTAAATATGAATAGAAGTGCTTGGAAGTGCTGCTTACAAGCAGAAGCCATTAAAACCACATGAGTCTTGCCTCTGTCTTGAGACCAGTGGAAGCTGCTTCTTCAGGTGTGTCTCAGAATGAAGAGAATATGGAGCAGAGGCAGAGCCAACTGATGATGGACATGAGCATGAATGAAAAAGAGATCTCTGCTGCTGTAAGCTATTGATATTTTAGGTTAATTTGTTATTGGAGCATAACCTAGCAAAAGCTGGCTGATATATATGCCATTTTAATGGAATCTTCTCAAAAACCCTATCTAGAAAATGCTATTATTATCTCCATTAAAGGAAGAGTCTTGGGCATATATTTAAAGAAAACTATAATTCGGAAGGATACATGCATTCCAATGTTCACTGCAGTGATATTAACTACATCCAAAGCATGGTAGCAGTATAAATGTCGACCGACAAATGAAAGAAGAAAGATGTGGTACATACATACAGAGGAACGTTACTCAGCCATAGAAAAGAATGAAACAATGCCATTTGTAGCAACATGGATGGACCTAGAAATGATCATACTAAGTGAAGTAAACCAGACAGAGAAAGACAAATAGCGCATGATGTTGCTTCTACGCAGACTCTTCAGAAAAAATATACAAATGAACTTATTTATGAAACAGAAATAGATCCACAGACATAGAAAGCTTACAGGTTACCAAAGGAGAAGTAGGGAGAGGGATACATTAGGAGTTTAGGATTAACAAATACACACTACCATTGGGTTAGCCAAAAGATTCATTCAGGTTTTCCCTAACATCTTATGGAAAAACCCGAATGAACCTTTTGGCCAACCCAATATATATATAAAAAATACATAAACATCAAGGACCTACTGTATAACACAGGGAACTATACTTAATATTTTATAATAACCTAGAAGGGGAAGAACCTGAAAAGGGATATACATACATATATATATATATATATATGTATGTGTATATATATATATATATATATATGACTAAATTACTTTGTTGAACCCCTGAAACTAACACAACATTGTAAATCAACTATATTTCAATAAATAAATAAATTTTAAAAGGCAAGGCTAAGGCTTATAGGGTTAAACTCTATACAGTTAAATTACACACACTTACCACAAATGGGGGGAGGAAGTAGGATCTGAATCCAGGCATTTTGATTCCGTCAATCCTAACCTCTATACTACACTACTCTGATGATAAAGATGACATAGAGCCCAACCACAAATAAACTGATCATCTTTTCACACTCATAAGGTAAAAAACCTCCTCTTAAAGCATACGTTAAATAAAAGAACACTCAGATAATAAAACTGTAGCCAGAAATGCATATTTATAAAATCATGCAAATGAGACTATCAAAAGCACACAATGTTAGAGAAGTTAATAGCACATAGTGAATTTAAATTTAAAATCAGGAACGTATCTCTGATTAGTGTTTGTCAGCACTGTAATAGATTCACTGGCATCCACCTGATCACATCCAAGCTCTCTTGAAGGAGAATAAACAGAAGAAAGAGACTGGCATCTCAGTTACTTCACTCTGGCTAACCAGATGCCAGACCTTAGTTAAAATCCTGATATACAACTGAAATCCATTGATTTCCACAGAGCGTCCTGACAGTGGATGGCCACCAGCCACTTACTGCCCGAGTAGTGCTGAATTGGGACGTAGCAGCGTATTATCACACAGCTCATTTCTCCCCCAAACAAGCCATCTTCCTCCAGTGAGCCTAGGAATTTGAAAAACCCTGAAAGCAAAGCTACTTGAAGCCTAACCGACTTTGCCTCTTAACTAACCCAGTATCAAACCACGGTCAATGAAATTTATCCTCCAAGAACTTTTTGTTGTTTAGTTGCTAAGTTGTGTCCGACTCTTTCGCAACCCCATGTACTATAGCCTGCCAGGCTCCAGTCTACATGGAATTCTCCAGGCAAAAATACTGGATTGGGTTGCCATTTCCTTCTCTAGGGGATCTTCTTGAACCAGGGATCGAACCCACATCTCCCATGTCTCCTGCACTGCACTGCAGGCAGATTCTTTACTGCCACTGGGGAAGCCCCAGACTAAGAGGAAATGCACTCTTTATTGGAGAAATAACAGAACAGACACGGTATTTTATTTGCAGGTACAAAGAGACCTTCCTAGTCCAAGAGAACTCTTTACAGATAGTTTAGACAATGAGAAACTCAGATACTTGATCTGCAATAAATTTGCACGTTGCCAACTCAGGATTTTTCATGGTGCTTCATCACAGAGGAAAGATTCTTATCACATGTTCTATTCAATCATTTGGCCCATCAAGGGGATATGGGAATATAGTTCCAAGAGTTCTACAATTTTAATAGCTCTCTGGAAAAATTAAAAGTGTCAGCATCTACCAGGAGTCTGCCAGGGTTGTTTTGAAACCAGATGACAGGCAATTTCCTTGGAAGGGCTTAGCACCTTTAAAATGTGATGTGCCATTTTACAAACTTTCTATTAATAGGGCTATTTTCAACTGACTCCCCATTAAGTATCTGTAAACACTTAAAATAAAAGAAAAAAGTAAAAATTCCTAACTACTCTTTCCTGTATTTCACAATGGTTCTAAGACACTTTGAAAAGACTAAACAGCAGGAAAGCAATGAAAAGAAAACAAGGGGCCTAGGTAATCTATAAATTGAAGAATTAAACTAGATAATTCAGCATAATGGTGGGTTCTGTTATTTGGGGGCCAAAAATAAAGTAGTAATAAAAAATACAACTTATGTATAGCACTCTGGAGTTTGCAGATGTAGCTTCAAGATCATATATCTTATTTGACCTTCATGGAAACCCAAACACTGGTTTGACAGATAAAGAAACACATTCAGTACTTCCCTGGCAGTCCAGTGGTTAAGGCTTCGCTTTCCAGTGCAGGGGGTATGGGTTCAATCCTTGGTCAGGGAGCTAAGATTCCACATGAGTCATGGCCAAAAAACCAAAACATAAAGCAGAAGTAATATTGTAACAAATTTAATAAAGACTTTAAAAATAGACCACATAAAAATTGAAAAAAAAGAAACTGACCCCCTGTAAGACTAATTTGTCCATGACACAGGAGTAGTAGTAAGTGGTCCATGAGAATTATAGAACCCTAGTACACTGATAGCATACTACACATAGGCACTATGTTAGTAGGGAAAAGTATTATTTTTCATTTTTTGGTAAAGAGCATATATTTTCAAAAGTCAACCATAAGATCTGTGGACTTGGTTAAGCGATTTTCCAATTTCACTTACTGGTTTGATTTACTATACTTAACAGGTTGGTAATGAAAAGTCTTAGATCTGTTCTCTCTTGATTATATTCAAGACCAGATGGTTTCAACAACCCTTGGGAGATAGTACATCTCCATCATTAATGTCCTCCCACTGTCTCAGCAAGTTTCACAGTATGTTGTACCCTGCCTCCCCATGCATGTTCTCTCCTTCTTTCTCCATCCTTTGGCTCAAAACCAACAAAGAATCTGCACTTATGATGCAATCTCCCAGTTGAAGGAGTTCTGCTCTCTGAGAGATTCTTAAGATTTCTAAATAATGAAACATGTCAAATCAACCCAAACTGCCCCCATCCCTGACCAGATAACCCTAATAAAATAACTTTATTAAATGAAAGTGAGAGAGCAGATATTAACATCTTATCTGCATTGGGGAGCTGCATTTAATCAAGTCACAGCATCTTTTAGAAAAGGTTGAAAGATGCAGAAAAGCTGGCATAGGTGCCCAAGAGTGGAAGCATTGGTTACTAAACAGAAGACCAAACACTCTCATGAAAAAAAAAAATTCCCAGCTTGAAAGACAGAGTAGAACCTTACTGGACTTCAGATTCAAAACATTACACTTACAAAGAAAAAAAAAATTGAGAAGGAAAATACACAGAAGGGGTATAATAAAGTAGATCACACAGATTTAGATTCAAATTCTGATTTTGTTCATTTTAGTTGGTGACCTTGTGCAAGATGAGCCTCAGTTTTGCTCATCTGCAAAATGGGATCATAGTGTCCCTCTAGTGTGGCAGTTTGGGTGAGGATCAAATAAATTAACATATATGAAAGTACTTAGCATCTTCCTGGGATCCTGGAATCACTTCATGTTATAAGCTGAAACGTGTCCCTTGTCAAAACCCACACGTTAAAGTCCTAACCCCCAGTATCTCGGAATGTGACTGTATTTGGAGATAATGATGCTTTAAAGAGCTGATTAGGTTAAAATGAGGTCGTTAGAAGTGAGCACTCATTTAATAAGAATGGGTTCTTGTGAGAAGAGGAAATATGGGCACAGACACACCGAGGGAACGCAGTGTGAAGACACAGGGAAGAGACCAGCATTACAAGCCAAGGAGAGGGGTCTGGAACACTTCCTTCCTTCAGTGACCGCAGAAGGGACTAAGCCAACACATAGGTCTTAAACTTCCAGCCTCCAGAACTGTAAGGAAATTAATTTCTGTTGTTTAAGCCACCCAGTCTGTGGTACTTTATTGCAGCAGCAAACATTAGTTTTCTTATGGTCAATTCTCTCTCTCTCTCTTTTTTTTTTAGTGTTTTAAACTGGGCAGTCTTGAATTGGTTTGCAAATAGACATAAGATAAATCACCATGTTCTAAATTTAAAGGACAAGGAGGGCTCAGATGTTCACACACAGGAAAGAATAAAGGAAGTCTGAGATTCAAACCCACCTTGGCTCAGGCAC